CCTTTGAATATATAATGCATCTTTATCAATAAAAAATATTATGTCCAGGACTCAGGCCCAGGCTCGCGACGATTCATCGGGAGCGGGAGTAGTCGACGACTGTCTTGACATAGACATTGAGCACCTGCTTTAATTGTGACCTCCCTCCGCTCGATACGCCTGTGGTTTTTCAAATTACTGTGAATGACGCTTAGGAATATTGACAGGTGTCATTCTGACTTCCTGTCAATCAACCTAAGCGCCATTACAGTTTGTGAAAAACCCCAGCAGCATAAATTCTCGGACAGCGACAATAAGCCTTATGCTTTGATAAATAAGGTCCGTTTTGAGAACGTTTGAGAAACTTCTCGATTTTTATTATACTCACGCAGTAAACAAGTAAGTGCATCCTGCATTTTATCATCAAAGTTATTTATTCGTCTTAATAAATAACAAATTTCTTCATATAATGGTTGGAATTTGTTTAAATAGTTAATTTTTTGTTGGTTTAAATGCCAACTTTTTACTAATTTCCTGATTGTCTGAAATTGTAAATGTAAAATTTTTAAAAATGACAATAAAAATTCCAAGAAAACATACAATTTTGTACTAAAAATTAAATTTTTTGAAACCGGTTAACCAAGACTTAAAAACCGGACAACCCGGTTAACCGAAAACTAATGTTAAAAAAAAACCGGCTTGAACACTAACACATAAACCCAATCGTGCTTTCAACAGACAGACAGGCGGACGTGGTCAGATCGTCTTAGAATTTATTAAGGACCCAGAATTTGTGGTCAATATATTTATGAGTTACAAACAGAGTGACAAAGTCAATATACTCCCATATAAAAAAGTAATTTCTTGAGATTTTTATGATTTTTCTATATTTCTTGCAAAGAAAATGTACGCAAATTTGATATCATATGAATAATATTTGAAAAGTCTTTGAAAGGCACTCTAAAACATTAATTTGAAATTACAAAATTTAGTAACGAATTTTCGGATTTTTTTTTTTTAAATTTGTACGTGGAATTATTAAATGGAAATAATAACTGAATTTATTATCTTTTAATTTTCAGAAACTCAGTTTCGTGTACGTAATTCCTAATAATTTTCCAATCAGTGTTCTTGAGGAATATTATATCCGGAATAGTATCACTTCCAAGATATTTGGATCTAACTTCGACGAATGCCTGACAGTGGCAAAGAAAACGTTTCAGAGTTTCACTATCCTCTCGACATGCTCTACATTCGTCTGAATCCGCACGTACAATTATGTATAGCTGTGTGTCCACTCAGAATGCGCACCATCATACTAACCTCAGACTTGCTCATTTTGAAGAGATGTCTACTCTTGTTCCTTCTGTTGCCGACTACTCTCGAGCGGCCTGGTAAACCTTACCTCTGGGAAAGTATTCAGTTAAAGCTTTCTTACAATCCGATGCGGTCTTAGATTTACCTTGATCACCTAATATTGCCTATGGGAGCCATATTTATTCGAATCCGATTTAGGCATTCCGTGTTTGTCTTGTGATTAGGTAACAAACTAACTAACAGTATGTTAATAAGCAAGAAACGATATTTTAAAATGTATTAAATTTTCATTTTCGGTGGGAACATCAGTACCTATTTTGTTCTCCATACATACGGTGCAACACTAATGTTCAAGGATATTTAACACGAATGGTCACCATAGTTACAAAATGCTTTACCATAGAACTTACTAACACATATTTAATAGAAAAACATTTATTTGTTATCACTTTTCTGTATAAATTTATTTGTATTATCTTTTATATCATTGTTTTCTTTTAATATGTTTACAAATTTTTTTCCAAAAAAAAAAAAAAATAATAAAAAAAATACACACGTGCGAATAAAATATCACTTGGAATTATAAAACGGTTGACAATTTGTATACAGCCCATCCTTAAGGAATTCATTTTTTATAAAATGACATATTTGTGATGCATCATTTTTATGTTGCTAAAATACAAAAAACAAAATTTGAAAATAACATTTACATTTATTTTCTAATATGTAAATATTTAAAAGTAAAATAAAACACTACGTAACGATGGAAAACCTATCAAGGGTGAAAATCGACTAGACAAAAATGTAGTAATTGGTTTAACAATGAGAAAATTATAACTTTATGAAAGGAAGGAGGTAGATATAATACATACTATGTAATGGTTCAAAATACTTTGATATTATTAACTACATAATTGTATAATGATTTATAAAAAATTATTAAGGCTGGCGAGTCTAGCTAATTCCTAGTCTATACAAATTACAGTTAAGAAATAATATTGGTCAATGTGAAATAGCATGTACATATATTTAAAGGGCGTTATGTTAGTTTTCAGTATTTTTGCTTTTTATACCCACCATCAAAAAATATGGGTGGTATATTGATTTTGTCATTCCGTTTGTAACACATCGAAATATTATTCATAGACCCACAAAAGTACATATATTCTGGGTCCTTATTAAATTCTAAGATGATCTAGCCATGTCTGTCCGTCCGTCTGTTGAAAGCACGATAGAGTCCGAACGGAACGAGATAGAGGATTGAAATTTACCACAAATATTCTCTATAGGTAAGGTTTGTTTGGTATTGAAATTGTGAAATATCGGTCCATGTTTTCGGATAGCCCCCATACAAGTGGATCCGTGAAAAACAGCTTAAATGGGCATATCTGTTTCAAAAGTACGAGTATAGCGATGAAATTTGACATAAATAAGTTATAATCAATAATCTCCCTATCAAATTGTATAAGGATCGGTCCATAATTGACCCTACCCCCCATATAAGGCCCCCTTAAAAAAATTAGTTTAACGCTCATTACTGGCTTAAAAATACTAGTACAACAATGAAATTTGACATAAATAAGTCTTTTATGATCCAAAACCTCTCTACCAAATTTTATGTTAATCGGTCCATAATTGACCCTACCCCCCATATAAGGTCTCCTTCAGAAAATTACTTTAACTCTCGTTACTGGGTTAAAAATACGAATATAGTGATAAAATTTAACACACATAAGTTTCATATGATTCAAAATCGTCCCACCTAAAATTGTTGATCGGTCCATAATTGACCCTACCCCCCATATAAGGTCCCCTTCAGAATATGACTTTAACGCTCATTACTGGCTTAAAAATACGAGTATAGTGATGAAATTCGACACACATAAGTTTAATAAAATCTCTCTATCAAACTTTATGTGGATCGGTCCATAATTGACCCTACTCCTCATATAAGGTGCCCTTTAAAAAATTACTTAAACGATCATTACTGGCTTAAAAATACAGAATATAGAAAAGCGATGAATTTCGACACATATTTTTTATACGATTTAAAACCTCTCTAACAAATGTATTTAGGATCGATCCATTAGAAAATTACTTTTACGATCTTTGCTGACTTAATAATACGTGAACAGAAATTTTATATAAGAAACATTTATAGGAACATAAATCTTCCTATCGAATTAAATGCGGAAATTGTCGTGAAGTGATATTCGATGTAAACCATTTTTTGTATGAACCAAAATTGGTCTACAAAAATTTTATGAAAAACGGTAAATTATTAACCCTATCTCTCATATAAGGTTTTCTTCAGTTAATTTGATGAGTAATATCACCCTGATGTTTATAAGGTAGCATTCCTTTTAAGGCATACGGTTTGATGGTGGGTATATGAGATTCGGCATAGCCGAATATAATACTCTCACTTGTTTATACTTACTTGCTTAAAAAAATCTTATCAGAATAATATTCAAATCGTATTGAAACAATGTATAATTTTTTTAATAAAATGCATAAAACTATAGATTTTATTTAAATAATATTTTCGAGATTAGCTTATTTTTATCGTTTTATTATATTACTACTATATTTATAAAAAGAAATTAATATAAAATAAATTTAGAAAATATTTTAGATAATTTTATAAAATTCAAAATTCATTACAAAAAATTTAAACATTTTAATTTTATTCGTAAGCTTGTTTTAAATTTATTTTTTTTTTATTTAAGATGTATGTTTTCGTTTATATATTTTTAAAATTTTAACCTTAAATATTACAACAATTGTGCACAGGATACAATTTAATAATTTTAAATACATTTATTTATATAGAGGTTTTTTATTACTTTTCTTTCATATATGTATAATTATTGTACTAAACACTAAAAAGGTTAAAAAAACTACCTTAATTAAGGACATTTTTTATTTAGGGAGTATAGGGCAAAAAACACATAAAGAAAAGGATCTAGAAATGAATTAAAATACATTTAATTAAACGGAATGATTAAAACAATATTATACTGTGTATTTTTGTTGTTATTAAGCCAATTATAAAAAATATCAATAGTTTTAACAAATATTTAGTCGTATTGTGTAATTAACGAGATATTACTTTAATTGTTTAATTAAAAGTTTTAAAATTATTCAAATATTATTGTTCTTAATTTTACCTGTTTTTATATTAAATAAAAACTTTTTGAGGAGAAACCGGCTGGCTGATGATGATGATTGGGATTTAGATATTTTTTTATTGATTTTTCTACAAAAAATTAAAATTAGAAAAAAATAAAGAAATAATTTTGCAAATAAAATAATTATAAATAAATATGTATAAAAATTTAAGCCAAACAAATATTTTATTTAAATAAATAAATGAAATTTTGTTTTGCCACATAAAAGTTCAATGATGCATTTCGGGATTTTCTTCCGGTTTTAAATTCAAACGAATTGAAAAAACAAATTCCTTTTTTTACTAGTTTTTGCTTAATATTTTTTTTTTCAAATAATGCAGTAAATACTTAAATGGGTTTTAAATTAAAATCGTTTATGGTTTCTATAAATATGTATGATATTAAATAATAAATAAACAAACAATTAATTTTTATATAAAAAATGTATTATTAGTTACAAATGCAATAAATGTACGATTATAAAAATGATTTAATAAAATAAAGACAAAAAAACATAAAAAACACATTGAAATTTAAACTAAATAGGGGGTATAAATGCACATGATTTTAATTAAATGTATAATTAATTTATTTGTATTTAATAAATATTTTTATTGTTTTATTAATAAATAAAGTCATTTAATTTTAAATAAATATTTGAAATATTTGTTTTTATCGGTAAATTCTCACAAACAATGAATAAGTGGTGGGCAAAAAAGAAAAAATACAATAGTAGTCGTAATATTAGCATAACAATTTCTTTGAAATGTCTTTCCTTTATAATATATCGAAACTTTACTATGATTAACACTCATTTACATAACAACTGGTTTCATATCAATACATATACTCGGTTATAACATTTCCAATAAAAATTTTAATTCTAAACATTTAAACAAAATATACATATAAGTTATGTACATGCGATATTCAATATTAATATTATTACTCATATGGTTAGGTTAGGCTGATAGGAGGATGTGAACTACATCAAATCCGAAGAAATTCACCTAAAACACTATCGGGCCTGTTGAGCTGAATGTATTATGTATGAATAATGTATTATTTTTCAATGTTCAGAAACTCAGTTTCCTGGACGTAATTCCTAAGAATCTTCCAATCAGTGTTAGTCAGGAATTTATTTCCGTAATAACATCACTTCCAAGATACTTGAATCTAATTTCGACGAATGCCTGACAGTGGCAAAGAAAATGCTGCAGAGTTTCACTATCCTCTCCACAAGCCCTACATTCGTCTGTATATGGTTGCTATAATCATACAGAGCTTTAATCGTCCCGAGGAGTTAACAGCAACTATTATTTCAACTATGTTCAATGCTTATTTTTAGATATACTGCATTTTATCACTATGGACCAAGTTTTTATTTAATCATTTTTGAGAGTTACTAGCATCGGTACAGAAATACATATGAAGCCATGAAAACTTTCAAAATGTCGATTAATGTGCATTGAATTCTTCAGAATTTCTCAATAATATCATAAAAGTTACTTCACGCTGTAATAAAGTCTCAAATATGATCAAAAACGAGGATTTTTAAACTTTAGTATAGAATAAATCTAAGGCAGGCTTGGGAGGTAATGATTACATTTGAAGTAATTGTAATTGAAGTTTTACCAAATACAATTACTTGTAATTTAACTGTTTTGTTTAATTGAACAAGTAATCATAATTGAAGAATTTCTAATTACAATTACTTATAATTCAATTTCAAATAATTGTAATTGATTATTGATCAATTACACTTAACAAGTGTGTAATTGTAATTGACCATGTAATGAATTACTTTATGTAATAATTTTCCCCTCGGCCTAATCTAAAGCCTTTAGAAGTTTATACTGGGTAAAAAAAATGTTTGTCCTGAGTTTTTTTTAAAGATTTTTTAGTTAATTTCTGTATCTCTGTGAAAAATTTAACACTGGCGGAGATTATATTTAGTTAGTGAAGAGTTTCGGTTGGTGAAAACATCACATTTTCAATTTGTATGATCTCTTTCCTTGTTTTTGCCGATATATTATATATATGTGTTTATTCGCTTGAAATAAATACATTCAATCGGACTACTCTGAAAAAATCTGGTTCATGCTAATTTTTAACTCATAACTATTTTTAAACAAATATTCATTTTTCCCACAAATCAAAATTGAAAAATTAAAACGCATACATGCATTAATTTCCGCTAATTGTTCATTAAGTAGAAACTTTAATTAAACTGTTTGTTTAATAAACGATTATTTTTTAAGAATTAAAAAAATCAATATTTTTATTCAACGAAAAAAAAAAAAATAATTATTCATTTGTGAGAACAAAATGATATAATTTAATTTAAAATTGACAACAACCCATTATCAATCAATATGAATCTATATGGGCAGTAAATTAAATGGTTTTCAGAAACTTTTACTTTTTAATGAAGGAGTAAAATCAATAAAATTAACTAAATTTTGACGTTAATTTTTTTGGATTTTATTAATCTATAAATCAGGAGTACTTTTGAGAAATTCAAACCGATTATAGGCAGAGCTATATAGGACAAAATGAGTGTGTTGTATTCAGTTCCATTCTCCATTTGATGTATTTAGTAGGGTTGTCATTCGAATAAAAATTATTCGATTAATCGAGGAAAAAAATTTGTTTTTCTTCGAACGAATAAAAAATTTCCAATTTAGAATAAAGAATAATTCGAGCAATTTTTGTCGATTAATCGAATATTCGAATAATATTTGAATGTTACTTTTTACGAATATTTTATTATACATAGCATTGAAATTATGTTAATATTTTGTAAAACAAATCTAAATATAAAGATATGTTATAATTGAAACAAAACTTTTACTACTTTTTGCAGTTTATAAAAATTTTTGTTTTGCAATGTTAAAAATAAAATGGTTCTAGTTTTAAAAGTGATATTCTTAAATTTTTTTAATGTTTGCAATAAGTGAAACAGATAAACAATAATTAATATGGTTTTTTCAGTATCTGTCTTTTTACAAGAAAGACAACAATTTCTAAATATACTGAACCCTGTTTCCTGGGCGATATGTAGGAGAACTATAGGCATGAAATGGGGTCTTAGTCCTACTATAAAACATTGGTTTTATTAAAGAGTAATTAGACTAATTCTAGCTTATGATTCAATAATCGGGTTGACTTCTTTGGACAAAAAGTGTAATATATAACTACAACAGGGAGTTCATAACTTTAGGTGAAATGTCCAAAATCAGTTATAGGACACGCCATCAATGTATATTGGACACATTGGAAAGCTATAAACAATCAGAAACTTTGAAACACTGAGCCCAGATAGAATGTCTTGATCAAGCGGAACATTTCTCTCGAACACTGATTGAGAAATTCTTAGGAATTACGGCCAGGAAACTGAGTTTCAGAACATTGAAAGATAATACATTCAGTCGACACTATGTTGTTTTTTTACCAAAAAACCTTTTTCTTCCATGAAAAGCAGCGCACAACGGGCCCGATAGTGGCATGTTTCTAATACATTAATAAATAGTACGATTTTCTTATATAAAACAGTTTGTAAAAATGTCTGCAAAACGGGTAGCTAAACATCGTATATATCATTATAAAGGCCTCAGCTTCCACTTTTAAATCCGTTGAATAGGTTGAGATTCAGCTAAGTTACTGATTTATAAGCGTAGGTACGAAAACCGTTTTATTTTAAGATTTTGAAGGTGTTTTGCAAATTTTATTTATATTTTATTAAATTATTCGAATAAAAACATTTATTCGTTATTCGTTCGAATAATCGAATAATTTTTAAAATTTAATCGACTACTCGAATAAAAAAATATAGTACATTTTTATTCGAATAATTTTAAACACGAATAATTGACAACCCTAGTATTTAGTCACCTTAATCGATGTGATCGGTAAATACAGTGTTACGCCTAAAATAGGAAACACACCTTTAGGAAGAAAATCCTTTTTTATGGATGAAGGCAATTTAAAAAAGCGAGCTCGCGATTTTGAAATCACATTGACCGGCCGATAATCGGTTATTCAAATTATATTCATTTGCGAGACAGAAAATAATAGAAGTAATATAAACTACCAATTTTTTAACATTAATTTAATTTCAAATATTTATATCATCAAAATGTATATAGTTATACCAATTTTATGATGTTTCCTTAATCACATACATAATTTTTAGATTAATATTCCCTTAAACAAACTGTATATGTGTATGTATATAAAATAATTTTAATTTTACTTACTATAAATATCGTAAAACTAAAAATTTACGAACATACAACTTATGACAAACACAGCAAATGTTTTTTAATTAAAAACCCAAAATTGAAACAAAAAACACATTTAAACACAAACCAGGAACTAAAAAGGAAGAAATAAAATCCCTAATACTGAAATCCCGTACCATCATCACCATCATCTTGTTTCCACCAGGGGTTGAAGGTAATTTGTAGTGCGTGTCATGGGTGTTGCTGGGATGGGCTGGGCACACTACAGATAAAAAGGAAGGCACAACCATAAACCGTTATATATAAAATTTTTTATGCCTCTCCATCATTATCTCTATCTCTATGGTCGTCGGCGTCGTCAACGTCTTTATTGCTATTATATTTTTTATTTGTTTGAGTTTTAACTACCTTTTCGACGTGTTTCGTTGTGCGTGGTATGCCACTAGTTGCAACATTTGATATGGTTGTTGTGGTGGTCGTTATGATTGTACCGTTGTCTTCGGTACAGGTGGTTGTGGAACTGGTTATGGTCTCATCGGTTTCTAGGTCGAACATTTGTTTGCGTGAACCACCAGCTTGTAATAAACGATTGAAAATTTCTTCTCCCGTTTCAGTGTCATCGGTGTGTTGCTTCATGGGTTTGGATTTTGATGATTTCTTTGTTACCATTACTCTTTTCGTTTTCGGTTTTTGTTGGGGTTCTTCCCTAGCTAAGGTTTCTGTGGTTGTTGTAATGGTAGAGGTGGTGGCCTGCGGTTCACGCTCGTCATCATCGTCTATTAATAAATTTTCTACGGATTTTCGTAATTGTTTTGAAATTTCAGCATATTTTTGCTGCTCGGCCAATAATTTTTCTAAAGTTATATGAGTATCTTCTTCTAGGGTTTGATGAGATTCTGTTGGTTTTTCTTGTACAGATGTTTGGCTTTCTTCAGGCTCTTCAGCCATGGCCTCAGCTGCCTCTTTCATTGTATTGTAAGTTTGAGATTTTTGCAATTTCATGGGAGTATTTGTATTGAAATTTTCAATAACTTTGGCACCATCAACAAAAGTTATATGTATGGTTTCGTCATCGTCGTCGTCTTCATCATCATCACTATCACTACTTTCACTTTCTTCAGTTTCTTCCGAATCGTCATCTTCTTCTTCGGCTACTTCGTATTCATCTTCATCGTCTTCATCTTCATCATCATCTTCTTCTACGTCGTCATCATCGTCATCTTCATTAGTTTGGCTTTGTAATTGACTTTGTAGTTTTTGCAATGTGTTTTTATTACTGTCTCTAATTAAGGCATTTAAAACATGACGATTTCCATTATTATCCCTTGAAGTTTCTTTGACAGAGAAGTCAACTTCATCTTTTGTTCGTTCGTCATCGTCATCAGTTTCTCCATAAGCTGGCTTAGTAGTTTCTTCATTATTGGCTTGTTCTTCAAGGCTTTTTTGCAAATTGTATTTCACACGTTCATTTTCCAACAATTCTTCTAAAACATTTTTCATTTTCGCATTCAAAGAAAGTTCTTCACGTCCTTTGGAAGGTGGTAAAACAAAAGTTTCACTGCGCAAAACTTGCAGCGAAGCAGGCAACTTTTCAAAATCTTCCTCATCATCATCATCTTCATCGTTATCAAATGAGGGATAGTCACTATGATGGGAACGACTGAAAGCGATGCGTTGAACCTGACCCTCACCCGTGATTAAAGGATTTACAACTTCAACTATACTTTGAGTTCTTGTTGTCATTGTAGTGGTTGTTGTGGCTGGTGTTAATGACGTTGTATGGGCTGCATTGTATTCATCGTCATAGTCATCATCATCATCATCGTATTCCTTGTCGTCCCTTCCTTGATATGCTTTTGAACGAGTGGTCTTCATGGTAGTCGTAATCTTTGTAGTTGTCGGTAAAACCACTTCTTTTGCCAGTGTTTGATGCATTGTTATGGTCGAAGGTTTTATACTCACTTTTGTAGACGAGCCTATACTGTCCAGGGAAGAAGGTCCAAATATACCACCACTACTTAAACTGTCTAATTCAATTGAAGGAAACTCGTCATCATCGTTACGCAAAAATAGTTTTTCGGTATTCTGTTGCACTGTTACAATAGAAGCAGAATCTGTTTCCTCCTCTTCCTCATCATCATAAATATCTTCTCTTTCTTCTGCTCCATCATCAGTATCATCATTAAGATTTTCCAAGTACTCCTGGTGTTCTTTTTCCATTTCTTTGTTATTACTGTCGTTAGTATTTTCAAATTTCTGGGTAATGTGCAACTTTTCTACTGTTTCCACTAATGTTCTATCCGTTACTCCAGGCAATTGTAGTTTTTCTTTACTTTTCTCGTGCTTGTCATCTTCTGACACCTGCGTCTGCATATACTGTGGTACCTGTTGTTGTGGCATCATCTGCTCTTGATTATGTTGTTCATTTACTGCAGCCACTTGTCGTCCCTTGTCCTCTTCCTCATCACCTACTTTTCTTTTTACGTCCTCATGCTGTGTTATGAAGTCTATTGATGCGTTTGGTGTATCGCTCTTTTCTGGGTCCTGCAACTCTAATGAGATTATCTTCTCTCGACTAGTTTCCACCTGATTGAAGTTGTAAGTAGATGTAAATTTTTTTGTTGCATTCACGTATTGTTTTTTGTGTGAAAATAATAAGAAGGGAAGTAAAATGGAATGTACAAAAATTTTAAATGTAGTTGTAGTAATTGCAAATGGTGTAGTTTTACTATTTCATTTTTTCATACATATTTGTTTTCGTGTGAGTGAATTTGTTTAAAGAATATTTAAATTAAATTTTAAACTTTTTTTCAAAATAATGCAGAGAAAATGTACAATGTGAAAGAAAATATTTAAAGTTAGTTAAAGAAGAAAGAAAAAAGCTAAAATATTAAAACAAGTGTTTCGTCTTGTAAGCTTCAGCCCAGTTCACATGTATCTACATGTTTACAGTGTGACAAATATTAGGCAAAATATACATTGTATTGTTAAAAAGGCTGAACAAATACGATTAAGTTAATTTTGTCAACAATTTCCATGCTTCAAGTTCTTTTATATGTTGATCAAAATATAGCAGTTAGGTTCATACATATGTATGTATCTATATTCGAAACTATTTATAAATTAAGATACATTTTTTTCTTAGATCTATCCTAGTGTATCAATGTATATTTTTCATATTGCGCCCCATAAACACTATAAACCATATTTATATTACAAATTTAAATTAAATTTAACAGATATATAAACATATTGCATATTTTATCTCTGTAGTCATGCTAATAAAAATTATTCAAATAAAGTATATAATATAATTCTTACAAATATTGCACCACAACCTTAATACCGAGTTACAAATTTTAATATATCATGCAATTCTACGAAATACAAATACTAAAAATAAAGGCTTAAAAAACAATGCAGTTTTGCTTTCGGCATATGATTATTTCTTTCTTTTTTTAGCTGGAAAAGTATAAAATATATTTGGCATTATTGCATATTTACACAGAAAATAAACCTGCGTAGTTGAAAAGCATAAAAATGTATTATTTAAACACAGCTGAGAAGTTTTTCATTAAAATTTCTATAAACTTTTACATACATGCTAAAAATATGTTCAAATTAAATCTCCCAACTATATCTGTTTTTAACTTTTAATTAATTCGTAGAAAGCGTTGGTAATGCAAACTTTAACTATAAACGATATCGGCATTCAAAAAATTAATCTGATTAAAAGGTCGATCACCATCAGATTTTGCATATTTGACTTTTTGTTATTTCGAGAAGAGATTTGTTTTAAAGATTTTAAATGGAAATCTCAACATCAGGGATGGCAAAATTTTTTTGATACTATTTGATGTTTAAAAGTACCGTGATGCTTTGAATCGTATTGGATACTCCCAAAGTATCTTTAAAGCATATTATTGAAACTCTAATGATACAATTTAAATCTGTTATAAAACGATATGTTTTAAAATTAAATGTTTTAAGCGAAGATAATATAAGAAGTTTTTGGTCAAAAATATTTGAACTTTAAAGTAAATTACACTAGTTTACAACGATTTTGCTCATCATATAAAATCTATATGAATTTCATTATTTTGACCATCTAAGTCTAGCAAAAGGTATAAAAAAAATCTAGGACGTAAAATTTTTGAATTCTTCATAAAGAAAAAAAAATTAAATCTTCCTTTAAAGAAAAATATAAAAAAACAAGTAAGAAACTATAGTCGGGCGTGGCCGACCATATGATACCCTACACCAGTTATGAATATTAAATGTGATTTATTTTTCATAATAAAGCATTTATCTTCAATATTCTCTTGTTCCGATACATTTAAGCAATTTATGGATGAAAAACTAATTTTCTGAAAGAGGCTTTATATGGGAGCTAGGGGCAAATATGGACCAAGCCCGATAACATTTTGTGAATATATTTATATTTACATAATATTTTATTGTGCAGAATTTCATCGCGATATTTGTGTTTATAAGTTAATTTGGGACATTCAAGTAATTTTCTGAAGCGGACTTTGTATGGGAGCTAGAGTCAAATGTGGCCCGATCTTTATGAAATTTGGCAGGGTCATCAAGACTTCTATAAAACTTAGTTGTGCCGTATTTTATCGATATATCTGAATATTTAACATAATTATGAGCTCAGAAGCCCTTTTCGGGGGGTTCTGTTCTATAGGGGCTAGGTGAAATAATGGACTGATTTTAACCATTTTCAATAGGCTTCATCAAACAAAACGTGCGTGCCTGTAGCTTGCGCACAAAATTTACATGGACAGCCAGACGGACGGACATAGCTTAATCGACTCAGAAAACGATTCTAAGCCGATTGGTATACTTTAAGGTCTAGGACGAATATTTTTGTATGTTACTAAAGTGGTGTAGGGTATAAATATATATATTTTTGCAGACCAGTGTAAAAGGGACAACAAAAGTTTGTTAACAAATTTACAACTCACATTTAACATACATACATACATTATATTTCTGTGGACTATTTTCATTTAATGATGAAACTATTAAACTAAAAGGTGTAAATTGTAATAATTTGCCAAAAATGAAACATATTTGATTTAATATGTTGTCATTTATCATATAATTCTTCGTAAATCCTTCTTTAAAGAGGACACATGAAAAAAGTTCCGGTAAGGCCACTTAAATACACACTAATATGAACAAAAGGATCTTGTGTGTTTAACTATAAACTCTATGATTTCACACACGTATGTGTATAAATATTAAGGTAAAATAGTTGTAGTGCTTTCTACAAATGACATTATTTATGATAATGTATGTGTTTGTCTTTGTGCTTCTAAAGTCTCAAAGACACATTATGCCCGTAACTAAAACTAAAGACAAAGTAATGAATGTGGGTCAATAAAGACAACAACTATGTTTTATGTTTGTTACGTACTTATGTTCCCATATAAAGGGGCACACACACGCAAATAGTATCTTAGTTAAATGCAACAACGACCACTATTAGACACACAATAAAGAGATCCAAATACGAGATCTGTTTGAAAAGTTTGTTTGACCAAAGTCGAATTAAAAGAGAATACTCGGTTTTCAAACTTTAAGACTTCCATGATGGTATTTTTCAACCACAGCTAGGTGAGCTAGAGACGACAACTTGTGGTCCCTAAGGGACAAACAGTTTGCCTGAATACTTCAGCTATCTAATCTCTAATCATCGCTGCCCCGTTGCATAACTTCGGTAATGCTTCAGAAGTATTACTTCCGTTTATAACCAAGCAGATGGAATGGCCTCTGCTGAATAGTAATCGAGACTTAACCGGTGGACATACCAAAGGATGTGAAGAATGTGACTATGGAAAGTAAGTAATCCCACAAAACCACATATAGTTTAAAAATTAGCTTTAGTATTTTCAGGAGAACTTCACGACTAGAGACTAAAATTAAGAAATGCTACAGCAAACTTTAGTTCCGGTATTGGACAATTTTGTTAGAAGCTGATATATTCATCAAATGAAATGTATTAGAACTTATGTAGATATATAGCTATTTTCTATTGCTCTGACAAGACTTTTCAATCTCATCTCGTGCAATGGCACACATTTTGACAGACTTCTAACAACTCACATTAAATAAATGAAAGAAAAAGTTCTTAAACTTTTTAAGGTCCCATAAAACATTTTTCTTTTTTTATTCTTTTCTATTTTTTCATTTAAGTTTCGTTTTGATTTTATTTTACTTTTTCCTCATTGTCGTTGTCCTTAGCCAACATACATATACAAAAATGTTGAGGAAGAATGAAATAAAGACAAAAAACATGGCTAAATTTTTTTTGTAGTTTTCATAGAAATGTTTAAAGACCCCTTAACTTGTACAAGTTTGTTAGCTGTTATGTATGTAGTTATGTGTAGAAAAAATTATATAGAAAAAAGAGAAGAAATTTAAGAAGAAAAAACAAAAATCTAAAGACAAGTCTCACGGTCCTGAGGCTACAAACTTGTCGCTTTAACAACCATTGAAAACAACAAAATCTTCAACAACATTTTTTCTCCTTCTTGCTCATTTTTATACTATGTGTAAGTGTGTATTAGAGTTTTTTCTATAGAAACCCGAGACAACAGCAACAAAATTATTTGAGACCGGAAGCAACACAAGTACGTTATATTAAAAAGAAGAAGAAGCAAACAAAAAAAATCGTATTAAATACATACATATAGTTGTTGCTTCTATAGTGCTATCGTTGTTGCTGTTGTTGTTTTTTTTAAATCCTTCCGTGGTGGCTGCTTAACAAATACTGTATAATTTGTTGCAACACAATACAAACACACACTGCCTGCACTTGCATCATACAAATAAACTATTGTGATGTTGACATTCTTCTGCTCCAATTTGTTTTCTTTCAATGCATTTTCACCACAAAAACAACAACAGCAAACAACAAAGACAAGTTGACGATACAACACATTATAATGCGTATAAATGGCAAATAGAATGACAAAACAATTTTTAAAACAACTTCTGAGGTTTAAAAAAAAAACATCCAACAAAACAACCGAACAGCATGTTACACCATTGACAACAACAAAAGCAACAAGGTATTTTAAAATTATTTTTCCAACAAAATGATTTTGTAAATGAGAGATGTTTTGAAAAAAAATTACGGATAACATTGTGTTTACGTAGTTTGAGGCCAAGTCAAGAATGTTTACCAAGTTAAGATGTGCAACAATCTAACTATTGCTTCAAAGAAATAATATGCTTTCGATTTCTAGATTCTTCCAATGACTTCAAATAAAACAAGTAAGAAATTATAGTCGGGCGTGGCCGACCATATGATACCCTACACCAGTTATGAATATTAAATGTGATTTATTTTTCATAATAAAGTATTTATTTTCAATACAACCTTGTTTCCGGTACATTTATGGAAAAACTGATTTTCTGAAAAATGGTTTATATGGGGGCTTGGGCCAAATATTTTGTGAATAGATTTATATAATATTTATTTGTGCTGGATTTCATAGCGATAATAGTGTTTATATGTGAATTTCGGACATTCAAGTCATTTTCTCAAGGCGACTTTGTACGGGATCTAG